TTACTTATTAATATTTTAGTATAGTTTGTCTTTTGCAGAGTTATTTGTTGGAGGTATTCATTTACAAATGAAATTTGTATTTTATGTGATGCAAATTATCTTTCCTCCTCCATCCCTATTTCTCTCACCACTTCTACCTTCAATGTGGTATAAGCAAGTTTTTTTCCATGTGTTTAGATTTTATGTAATCAAATATATCATTCTTTTCCTTTAACTACTCTGAGTCTTGGATCTTTATTGAGAAATCATTTCCCCATTCCAAGATTATAAACATAGACTTCTATATTTACTTCAGACTTCTATATTTTCTTTGAAATAAATGTTTTATTTATAAAACTACCATTCATTTTGAATTTATTTTTGGTATATGGTGAGTGATAAAGTTCCTACTTAATTTTCCTCTAGTCAATTTTTTGCAGTACCATTTAGTAGAAAATTATCTTTTCTCCACTGATTTAAAACATCCCATTTAGTGTGTATTAATACCTGTACTGAAATATTTTTCTGGGTATTTTGTTAATTATCAACTTCTTTAGACTGAGGAATCTTCAATGTCATAAAACAAAAATACATGATTTGAGGAAATGTGTGATTCTACTTCTAATAAAATTTCCTATCTTAATTAATCAATGTCACAATCAATGATTTGACAAACATGTACTAAGAGCTCTAAATATGTTTTGTAATATACCTGTTACTAGCTTAACTATTCCCACTTCAACAGGAGCTCAGTATTTGCACATGGCAGAACACCAAGTAATTATTTGTTGAATGAGTTAATGTGAAATTGCTGAGTTCAGTTTAGTCAGATAAAATCAGGCAATTTAAAAGTCATCATTGGATCAGTGTTAAATTTTAGCTTATTACTATGCAATCCTAGAAAGGGGAAATGATAGCTTGCATTATTGAAGGAACATCCTGCATTACTGAAGTTACTAAAATAGCTTATCTCCCTCCAAATAATGTTGCAATACATTTGATAAATCCCTAGGGCTTCTTGCCACTCCCCTTGCAACTCCCCTTCGGCAGTACATATACTAAAAATTGCAACTCCCCATGATAGATAATACAAGATTCTCCTTTCTCCAATCGTCAAAGACCCCACCCCCATCAGAAGAAAATTTTAATATATTCCCATGACTGAACTGTATATACTCCGCTTTCCCTTCTATTGCCCCTTGCAGGTCTACTTACTCAAAGACTTTCCATCGCTTCTTTCCCATGCCACGCCTCTCCTTCTAGGTCACTCTCAAGAATGCATAATTATACATATCTTCATCTCTTAGAAAACTCCAGCATTAAATCTCAAATCCTTCTCCAGATACCACATTTCCCTTTCCCCTCCACAGAAAATTCCCTGACCTACTGTCTCCACTGGCCCTTTTCCTCTCTACCTTTCATCTCTTGAACCTACTCCACTCAAGCTGACTTCCCACCGTGTCAATGAACTTGCTATGACAGGGTCACCATTATCCTCTACGTTGCCAAAAACAGCAGGCAATTTAAAAAAAAAAAATTAAGTTGAATCACCATGAGATAGAGCATCACAAAGCTGTTTATGATTGGGTTTCAGTCATACAATGTTCCAACACCCATCTCTCCACCAGGTAATTTTTCTTCTTTTGGGTCACACCCAGCAATGCTCAGGGGTTACTCCTGGTTTTGCACTCAGGAATTACTCCTGGCGGTGCTTGAGGGACCATATGGGATGCCGGGGATCGAACCCAGTTCGGCCGAGTGCATAATTCTTAATAGTTAACTTTCCATGCCTATCAGGGACACTAACTCACTTGGTCTCTCAGTCAGTAAAATATTTTCTTTTCATGGCTTCAGGTGTTGGAGTACAAGGAGCTTAGGTTTATCAGGTTACACCTATCACAGTGCTGCCGAGTCACTCCCATTACTTTGTCAGTAACTACTTCTTTGTGCTCTTTTCCCCAACCAATTTGTAAGGTCTCATCCTTCTTAGACACTGAAGCTGTACTGTAAGTTAATATTGCCTTTCTCCTCTCCTTATGTCTTGTGAATAGTTTACTTTAATGCAATGTCCTTTTTGTATAGATACAGGAAGACAATTAATATTATGCTTTGTAACTTAGGAGTTAATTGGTTTTGAATATTATTCACTCCTGGGCATCTGCTTTCTCAACTTAAGCCTCGGTTGCCCTCACTTCCTAGCACCCCAAGGGCAGGGTCCCGACGTGGGACTGGATGGAACCAGGGCAAGTGTGTAAGTTATGTGCTGCCCTGGCATTGAGATGGGCCAGGCCAAGGTGCCACGATTCTTAACTATAGGTTAAGAGTTTGATCATAGACAAATGCTGTCATGATCCAAAAGTAAAGATGAGACTAGGACCCTGCTGCTAGGAATAGGAAAGATATCTGGCCTGAGCACTGCAGTCTGAGATCGAGATGGCCCTAGGAGAGCAATTCTATAAGCTCAAAGTATTTCTTACTGTTTCCATACAAAATGATTTATATTATGTATGCTTAGAGCGCAGCAGTAGGTCATTTGCCTTGCACGCAGCCAACATGGCCGACCCAAGTTCGATTCCTCCACCTCTCTCGGAGAGCCTGGCAAGCTACCCAGAGTATCTCGCCCGCACAGCAGAGCCTGGCAAGCTACCCGTGATGTATTCAATATGCCAAACACAGTAACAACAAAGTCTCCAATGGAGATGTTACTGGGACCACTCGAGCAAATTGATGAACAACGGGAGGACCATGATCTCGTGATCTCATGTATGCTTATATGGTGATCGGAAAAGGAGAGGAGAAACACACCCAGGGAATTCTGTTCTAGCGTGAGTTGATCTGCTAAATGAGAATCTGTCCTAGAAGCAGTTTTCCTGTGTGTCCTGACTAGCTTGGGTGAGACTGAACTTTTCACCCCTTCAAACTGCCTTCAGTAAATGATTTCAGTATATTGAGGCAGTTTCCCTTATCTCACAGGAACCTAGCTGGTCTTAGGTATGCAGATCCCAGGTGCTAAGCCAGGACTGATCTTTGGGATGTAGATTCCTGGCTCTAGGCAGGCTGATCTTGGAGATGTAGATTCCAAACTCTAGCAGACTGGTCTTTGTTGTGCTAATCCAAGTGCTTGTAGTTTATAAAAGGTGAGGCCAGGATTACTGGCCTGCCATGTAAAGAAACAATGTATGTTTTGCCTCAGTGTTCTTTCTGTAACTCCTTTTGATGACATCACTATATTGTGCCCTTTAGAGGTACTATGATCTATATAAGGGAGATTTCAGAGCTCTCTGGGGGACAGAGAACCTGGGAAGATGGGGCTGAGGACAGAAGCTGAGAGAAGAAAGGAGCATGTGCTTGAGAGATCCTGGGGCCTCCATGACATACATCTCTTCCATGTAATAAACTGCTGCTAAGACCAACCAGCCTGGCCTTCGTTTCCTTCCTTTGCCTGACCATCACCATCGACCTCCCTGGAGTGGGGAAACGGTCATTCAGCAACCATTAAGTTTTACCTCACTCTAAGTATATTTCCTCTCTACTTCTATTGTGCCACAGTCTCTCCCTGACAATTCTATTCTTCATAAGTATCTCTCAAGATTAATTTAAATTACAGAATAGACGATGCAATTCTTCTGCTCATGATTTGACAATGGTTGCCCATGGCTTCAAATATAGCCCACAGCCAGGCTTTCCTTGGCCTGTTACACTGTGATCTGATACTTGTCTATCTTCCAGCCTCATCTTTCATCACATCATCTAACCTGATCAGCACAAACCAACTACCTTTAAATATAAGGAAGTAAGATTGTGTTTTTTATTTGAGACTCAACAAACTCACTTCTACCTTAAGGACTTCCTATCTTTCCCTCTCTCTGATGGGACTTTGCATGCCAAATGTTATTCTAATTTAACTTAGGGCACTGCTTAAATGTTCTCTCTCTCCCACCTTCTCTCTCTTTTCTCTTTCTCCTTCTCTCTTCTCTCTTGCCTCTCCTCTCCCCTCCCTCTCCCTCTCCCCCTCTTCCTGTCCCTCTCCTTCTACCTCTTGCTCCCTCTCTGTCTTCCTTTCCCCCCTCTCCCCTCCCCCTCCTCCCTCTCTCCCTCTCCCTCTCTCTCACCTCTCTCCCTCTACCTCTCCCTTTCTCACTCCACTCACACACACATACCAGACTGTGCTCAGGCCTTACTCCCGATTCTGAGCTCAGGGATCACTCCTGGCAGGGAAGCTGGGGGGTCAAACTCAGGCTAGGCATATGCAAGTCAGGTGCCCTACCTGCTCTACTATCCAGCTCCCTTTTTATTAAATAAAAACACAAAACAAAAACCAAAACAGATATCTTATTCTTCATAGTTAACTGCAGTGTGAGTCATTCCCCACCATTGTCCACCCAGTGGCACTCAGGGGGCAACAGGGCTACCCCTGGAGGTATCCAGACCACCATGAGATACTGAGGACTGATACCAGGACCCTGCATATGCAATGCATGTGCACTACCCCTTGAGCCATATTCCAGGCCAGAGAGATACCTTACGTTCTGTCATATACTGTGTATTATTTATGAGAATACGAGTTATTTTCTTTGTGTGTTTTGGAGGCTCTCCCAAGTACTGCTCAGGGGCCCAGGGCTACTTTTCCCAACTGTGCGGACCGAATGACAAGATGTTGGTCAGTTCGTGGGCAGGCAACACAGTCCTGCTTGGTACTTCCTGGACCCTGCAGTGCTGGAGACAGTTAGGGCTATGCCGACTAGTGTTCAGAGGATCACGCAGTGCCAAGGATTGAACTGGGACCTCTGCATGCAATGCTTGGAACCATCTCCTAGTCCCAGTGTGTCTTTTTTTAAATTAAGCTAGAACAATGCCCAACTACAGAACAGACATACAACAAATATTTACTAAAGAAATTGATGAATGAATAAATGCACATGAATAATTTATGAATTTAGCTTAATCAAAATTGTGTGTGTATATATATATGTATATATATACATATATACATATATATTTCATTTGGGGACATTACTCACTTTTCGCTGTTTTCCGGAATCCAATTTTATGAGCCAATATGATGCCACCTTCGACTTATGGTATTTCCAGTTATCCATGATCTATTTGGAGGTAGAAAATTTTAAGACTAAATTAGAATTTTTTTAAAAGTAGCAAAATGTAAACAAATTGGTTGAGATAATTTTACACACTCAACTGAGAAACAAACACATTCAATTACTTGAAATTAAAAAAAAAAAAAAGGAACACTTTCAGGGGCAAGAAGATATCCCAGGGGTTATTGCTTGCATGAGGTGAACTATCCCTGCCCCCAGTACCACATGGTTCCCCAAGCTTCCCTACAGGTATGTAGCCCAGGTGTGACCATCCCTACTGGACACTATTCACTGCCAGGGTGGTCCAGTAATCACCAGAACTAAAGGTCTTATCCTCAGATTCTCACATTAAATTCCTGGACCAGATCATTCTTCAGGGCCTCGGGCCTCCTGAACACTGCTTCAGAACAAACCCAACACACTTGCCCACTCCCCAGCATCTTTACCAAAAAATAAATAAATAAATAAATTAAATAAAAATAAAAATAACTCCTTGCATTATAAAGTCATGTGCGGGGGTCAGACAGATATTATAGTAGGGTGCTTTCTCTGCATATGGTGGGCCCAGCTTTCATCTCTGGTACCACATATGGTTTCCTAAGCACAGAGCCAGGAGTACGCCCTGAGCACCTCAATCGAAAGTTTTCTTCTTCTATTAACCAAGCGATAGCACAGCAGGTAGGGTATTTGCCTTGGACGCAACCAACATGGCGACCCGAGTTCGATTCCTCTGCCCCTTTCGGAGAACCCAGCAAGCTACCGAGAGTATCTCGCCCGCACGGCAGAGCCTGGCAAGCTCCCCGTGACGTATTCGATATGCCAGACACAGTAACAACAAAGTCTCCAATGGAGACGTTACTGGGCCGGCTCGAGCAAATCGATGAACAATGGGAGGACAGTGACAGGACAGTGACAGGATTAACCAAGTACACAATATCTACTAACTAAAAGTCAACTGTCTTAAAGTTTGGGGAGAAATGGAAAAGCCAGAATTAATTTTATTTCCAAGATTTGTACTTACACACAAAATAACAGATACTAAATATAGCATTAGAAGATTGTTCATATAGAACTAGGATTATTTGTTCCTTTGGGGTATTTTTGTACAAATACATACGTATTACATGAAGCATTAAAATGTTTTTACATATGTTAGATATAGTAAAAATTTTAGTGTCTGGTATAATAATTTTATAAGTTACAGAACCTTTATATTCTTTACAGAACAATGACATTATCCACTTATGTTTTAGGTTTTTATTACATAATTTTTTTCTGATCATTAGAACTAATATCCAATATTTTTTAGAAAAAATATCTTGTACAAAGTCATTCTCTTTAATTAGAATAGAAATTGATTAAATAAGATCACGAGTAAATTAAAATACATAGAGCATGTTTTACACCTAATGCTCAATTTTCTTTTCCCATGAAAATAGCAGAGTTTGGAGTCTTAAATTATAACCAAACTATGAAATAAAAATGTCACTACTGAGGTTTTTTTAACTAAGAGGATAGTTTTTATTGTCATTTTACTTTGTTTTATTACAAGACTCTTGATTTGGTGAAGTCTAAAGTAATGTTTTAAAAAAATAAAAACTGACAAAAGCACCGCAGTGGCTTTTATACTAGTTGGCAACTACGTGGTGCCTTCTCCTCTGTTGGAAAAAAAAAAAAAAAGACACCCCGCCTCCGACCCTCCCACCACCACCCTCAGTCCCGCCCTCCAGAAAACAACATTGTGAAAGCATCCAGGAATGGATGCTTGAAAAGGATATTTGAATGAAGAAATGGAATGTTATGTGAAGAGGCTGTGATCAAAATCTTTGAAAACTAAATTAGGAGTTAAGCCAGACTTTAATTTTAAAACTATGTGCCGTTTTAGAACGTTCTACCAGGTGGTGCAAACTTGCTTGTAACAAAAAAAAAAAAAAAAAACGCGAACAGGCCATTTCAAAATCTGACCCATACCATTCAAGGAGTCACAGTAAAATACTATTGAAATTTCATTTCCAGGGATTGCCACCCCCCCTTTTTTAAATGAATTTCACTTCATGTTAGAGCTTTCTCAAGTGTTTTATAATTTCTTTAATTAAGAACAATTATTTAACGCTACTTATTCTAAAGCAGTAGTATCATTATATAAAATTAAACACTGAAATATATTTTGCATTGCTAATTATAAATGTGAACTCACTTTTCATAAATCATTATAATTAAAATAACCTCTAATTTTAAATCTTGTAGTGGTGAAAAGAACATCAACTTACTATGTTATTGAGAATGCCACGATAAAATACATTTTAAGAAGAATAAGAAGGTATGGGGCTCCTAATAAGTTTATACATGTCAAAGACTCACATTTCCTATCAGATGTTCTGATTCTGCTTCTGACTTTCCTGGAAACCGGATCTTCATGTCCTTAAGAATAAACAAGGTCTGACTCATAAGATGATCTTCCTGTTCTTTGGTTCTTGGTTGCCGCAAAGACTCACTCTTAAATTTGAAAGAATACAGATATTTGGAGGGGGTCTTATTTCATTGTGCCACAATAATCTGAAAGATATTTCTAGGTGAAAAATGATGCACTTTTAATTGAAATAAAATTATAAGAAAAAATACATTTATTTAGGATTAGAGATTTTTCCAAATGTCTTACATACTTATACACAGCTCTATTTTGTTTAGCTCACTGTATTAAAATAAAAATATGAGTTTGAAAAGACTTGCTAATATATATTTTAGCATCTCTGGATTACATTTTTTAAATCATTCATTGTTTAGCAAAATTTATTCTTGTAGAATTCTCAGATTCTTCACAATGAAGACATCATCCAGAGGAAATAAATAAATCACTGGTGTCTGGAAATACCTGAAGCTATCTATGTAAGTAACTATAAATAACATTTATAGCAAAATAAATTCACTGACTTCTTGATACCCAATATCTGGAGGCCGAGTAGAGCAGGTTGCTCAAGGGCTAGTGCACATATTTATCATGTAGGAGGCCAGGTTCAACCCCTGCCACCACAAGGAGCCCTGAGCTATAAGTGATCTCAAGCATGAAGCCAAGGTAGCACTCAAGCACTCCTAGTGTGGCCCTATGTTTAAAAAAAAATTCAGTCTCTGGGATTCACGTGTCAAGGACAGAATACTACAAATTAATATAACAGAAAATATTATAAATAATGTTGATTTCAGTGCTCTAATTAGTGCTCTAATGATTAAAATGGTTTATTTTTTTAACCTACCTATCGAAAGTCTAACTAAGAATTTAAACTTAAATAAACTTCCCCACATTTAGAGATACACAGCATAATACACTGCAAAACCATATGGTTACTCAGATATTTATAAACACAATTATGGGACTCCTTCAGCAAATGGAAAATAGAATGTTCTTTTCAGTGTCTATCCTTGAGTTATGTGATATATTAAATGTGCCTTTTAAGAGTCCATATTGACATAGACTATTATTATTTTATTCTATTAAACAGTAATCTAAATTCCAGCAGACAATGAGTTGAATTTAGAAAAGATCTGAGGTTTAATCTGTTCTTCTTCTAGCTAGCCCCTTTGCCAACCAAATCTTTTGAGTACAGCGATTCCTATGATCTAAAAGGGAAAAAATAAAATGATGACTTACCATATGAGAGCTGGAGTGGGCATTATTATTCTGGAACAAATGCCTTCCACTAGAGTTTGAACGGTTTAAAGAATGTGACCGACACCCTAAGGTTGACTGGCATACTGGCATCACTTGAGCAGATAAGGGACGGTGGTCAGTACTGCTAGGGAACTGAGCAGAGATGGAACGAGGGCAGCTAACTGAACGCTTCATGGAGCCTATTGATGAAGGAGAGAAAGGACAGCAGAGAAATAGCTGAAGTTTCCGACTGTGCTAAGTCTATGTGAAATAACAATTAGACCACGGAGTGGCAGGGTGGCAATAAATGTAGACACAAAGAAAGCACAATAAGAACACGAGTTTTTGGGCCAGAGTCATAGTACAGAGGGTATGGTGTTTGCCTTGCATGCAGCCAACCTAAGTTTGATACCTGGCATCCCATTATGTTCCCCTAAGCACCACCAGGAGTGATTCCTGACTGCAGAACCCGGAGTAAGCCCTGGGCTTTTCTGGGTGTGACCCAAGAAGGAAAATTTTTTAAAAAAAGAATATGAGTTTGGAGTTAATTCTTCCATTTAAACAGTAAACCCATTATGGAACTCTTTTCACGTATGAAGAAAGACTATCAGAGAATACTTACATAGTACTTTTATGTTATGTGCTTGAACGACAGAAACTAAAAAAAAAAGAGATAGGCGAGAAGAAAGGAAAACTAGTACTTGCAATGCATCTTCTTTAAGGCAGGTTCTATTCTTTTTTTAATTCTCACAGAAATCACTGTTAGTATGAATCTTTGTCTCCTGGATTTTCTGAGAATTTACTCAAGATCACACAAGATGAAAGTGGCCAACCCCAGGTTTTATTCCTGACATAAAATGTCGAGGTCTTCCCTGTTTCTATAAAACTGTGTTGCCATTCATTTTCTTTGAGTTAGGCTGATAATTTGCTAGAATCTTGTGTACAGATTAAAAATAAAATGCTTTACATCAAGATTCCAAGGAGAGAATGGAAGGCGTTTGAGAATGCCCAGATTTAGTGAGTATGTCAGAGTTTTGGGAGAAAAAAAAAAACAGAAGGAAAAAAATCATACTTAGCTTAAAATAAATCATTGGTTATTAGAAGAGTAGTATTAGTTCATCATCTTATTCATAGGAGAGATTTAAATTCCCATGGTCAAATATTTAAATGAAGAAAAAATGTCTGCATCTAAAGGGTACATCAGAAGCAGCAATGAGGAAAAAACAATTTCTTCCCCAGTACACATGGAGAACACTCTAAAAAGAGAAACAGCTGTTCAGGTAAATTTTGGTTCTTGCTATAAGGGAAACAGTAGCACTTGCTATAACCAACATTTGTAATTTTAAATTTCATATGTTCTATTATGTCTGATGTTCTACATTTTACTCTACTTGGGAAATATATCGATACTTATTAAATAATTTAATAAAAGTCACATGAAGGCTGGTTGAATATCCAAATATTTTTCTAACTATAAAAAATATCCAAGCTTTCACAGAGGCAATGAATAAGAACTTCATATTTTGAATGTATTTCTAAAGGATATTTTAAATAGATTATGAACCTAAGAGTACTCATTTAGGTCAACAATATTTAAAATATATACCCATTCAAGTTTTAATACTTGCTTTTTAAAATTAAAATAAAGTTTTTATTTGTTCTAGCAATAAAGTGTTCCAATTATTTTGAAACTGAGAATCCAGTTCTTTAAATGACAGTACTTCAATTGTAGGAAACTTACTACCAAGATCCATCTTCTACAAAGAAAATATTCCCAAAACATGTACTACTGCCCACACCTTGGTTCTACTCTCTTTGAGAATGAAGGACTGAACATGTATAATCTGATTATAGAAACAGAATGAAAGTATTCTTTTAAATACCTATAGATTCACATTCACCCTGCTCCCTCATGCACTGCAAGTTCAGACAAAGTATGCAGAAGCTGGACATGTCAATGGTATTTCGGCATATTAACAATAAAGATTATATATGTACACCAAATGAAATGAGAAAAAATGGAAAATAATTGTACACAGCTACCTTACATCAAACATACATATATATGTATATATACATGTGCTACAAAAAGTTTTATTTTTGTCAGTAAACTCTCTACCACAGAAAATGTTAGATGTAATCTAATTTTGTCCTCGGCCATCAGCATCACTTTGGAGACACAGCTCACTGGGATTTGTGGCTATGATACTCATTACTGCAAGATTAAAAAGATAATATGATATAAAACCAAGTGAAACTGCAATTCCTTGCAATTGGTTCAATTTCTAATGACTATACAAATAAAATACAATAAGGAAAATTACATGTAACTGAATTACTCTGGGTCTAAATGGAGGATTCCCATTTAAAAACATATTTAAAAATCTATTTTAATACACTATTTCCCTAATATCTATTTAATAACCTATTGATTTGAGCACAAAGAACAATTCTAGAGCTCTACTAACTTTAGCAGTTTTTCTCACCCGTACCTTTATCCTCTAACAGTTCAAGTTGCTAGAGATGCACAACTAGCCCAAGGTTTTCAACTGCAAGGCTGTGAATGGGTACTGAGCAGGTGTAGAAATGCTGACACTGGGGCCAGGGAGATAGCTCAAGGGCTGGAGCATAGATCTTGCAAGGTCCCCAGAACCCCATAGCCCTTCCCCCAACACTGCTGGCATAGCCCTGGTGGCCTCTGAGTATGGCCTACATGAACACTATTTGGAATACCCCCCGGGGTGGGGGTGGGGGGAGGCTGAAAACCACTGCACTCACCAAGGAAAAGGAAAGTGATTAAAAAAAAAAAGTCAAACTGGGAAGAACACAGTGAGATTGTAAAAGAGAAACAGGGCCATACTTAGAGAAATACACTGAAAGTACTGAGAGCATCTTTAAGAAAGAAAGGACATGATTAATAAAAACAGCTTACATACTCTGGAGCAGATGTCTATAAACTAAACAGTGATTCAATAAATTAAATGGAACATAAATACATTATTTTCCTTTCAATCACATCAACCCTCCAAAGCAGAAATATCAGCATGCATCTTTATGAGATAATTTGGAAATAAAAGAAAGATCATTAAAATAGTCATCTGCTGATCTCTTTTCCTCATGCATTTTGCCAGAAGCATGGAAGCCAGGTGTCAAACATATGCAATAGGGAAAGCTAACTCGGTAAGCCATTGCTGGAGATTAACAAAGGCTCACAATGGTATTTATGGAACCAGCCCCGACAGTGAAACCCTGGATCAACAGAGCACATGGCAGAGATGTGACAGAAAGAAAAGACTGACTTGGAGGCATGCCAGGAAGGGGCTAGAGAAACAGTGAAACTATGCTGGACGTTTATGGATGAAAAAATAACTACAAATGCAATAACAGATTGGTGAAACTAAAGAAGAATTGAAGGATGGAAGGGAAGGAGGGCAGAAAAGAGGGAGGGAGGAATGAAAGGAGGGAAGGAGAGAGGGAGGGAGGGAGGGAGGGAGGGAGGAAGGAAGGAAGGAAGGAAGGAAGGAAGGAAGGAAGGAAGGAAGGAAGGAAGGAAGGGGCGAGCTGGTTAGTGACTCTCCTAAAACCCACAAATAACTGACTTCAGTGCTTAGCCATGATGAAAAGGGGAGGGGAAGGGATTCAATAATTTTATAATTAAGTAGTTTACAGATTAAAATAGAATCATATTGTCTGAAAAACAGACAGGATTATGAAAAAAGATCTTTAGTAAGGTGGGGTGGGAGCACAAATGGCCGGGGAAAGCTGGGATGGAATGAGAATATGCCAACTCCAAGAAGACTGCACCCAGCAAGTCCATCAATGGCACATTTTATAATACCCACCCAAGACCTAAGACCTAACCACAACTGAGGCATCAGAAGGCAAAGCTATAGATACTTGACATGCAGCCCTTTTTCCTTTCTGTAAGTGACTGAGGCATTTGCATAGGTCCAGTTAGCAGAGGAAGCGGGATTCAATGCATGTTTCCTCATACATGATAAGGGTTCATTTGACCCAATAACTTCTTATTTAGAGGGTATATTCAGTTTCGCTACTCTTCATAAAAGAGTTAAACCAGAAGGAAGGAACTTACCGGATTGCTGGATAAATTTGGAATGGTCTGGCTGCTTATATGCAAGTTGATTTTCTCTCTTCTGACTTTGGTACTCTTCTTGTTCGTCGGATTCTGAGGAGCTGCAGCTACTATTACAACTGCTCTCACTGCTGTAACACTTCGGTTTTTTCAGTGTATCGGAACTCTCAGGCATGGAACTTAGAGGCTAAAACAGAGGAAAGATTATTGTTAGGCTTTTAAAAAAGAATTATTGGTACATTTACTACTATTTTCAACTCCTCATTTACACTTGCAGCTTCTTATTGAAGGATGATATTCAATATACCATTGATAAAGTCTGCTACCATTCATTGAAGGCTCTTTTCCTATAAAATCATCTTTCCAAAATGACCATAGATCTGTTCTGATAAGAAAGACCTTGCCTCGGGGCTGAAGCAATAGCACAGTGGTAGGGCATTTGCCTTGCACGCAGCCGACCTAGGTTCCATTCCCAGCATCCCATATGGTCCCCCAAGCACCGCCAGGAGTAATTCCTGAGTGCATGAACCAGGAGTAATTCCTGTGAGTTGCCGGGTGTGACCCAAAAAGAAAAAAAAAAGACTTCGCCTCTACCTTAGTGAAATATACCATAACAATATTTACTTAAGTACAGCTTGCACTCCACTGGCCTGGGTTCAATCCCTGGCACCCCATGTGGTCCCACTCTTCTAGGAGTGATCCCTGAGTGCAGAACCAGGAACTAGCCCTGAGCACTGCTGAGTGTTTTTTATTGGTCCAAAAACCAATAAAAAGAAAGAACATTTACTGTATCTTGAGAGCTTGGTGGTAAAATATGGTATGGTAATAACATTGTATTCTTAAAACATACAAATATTTAACATTTACACTCCTATAAAATAATGTTATTCCATAAAAAGGAATGCTGGGAGAAAACATTCACCAAAATTTTTAAAAATAAAGGAAAATATTACAAAAATTAGAACTATAAACACTTTTCAATAGTTAACAGGAATCAAAAAATGCCCTTTGGATGCCTCATTCATGCTCAGAGTTACTAGAAAACAAAAACAAAATGTGCATGTGTGTTATTGTGAAAAGAGGAGAGAAGGAGGGAAATGAGGAACCCAAAGAAAAAGAAAGCAGTCAAACTACTATAAGATACATCAAGAAAGGCAAAAGATAGCCTCATCTGAAAACAGAGTCTTTGAGCTCAAATAAGATATAATAAGAAGAAAATTTTCTATAGACATTTTTATACAGAAAACTGATTTACTGCTCATAGTTCAAGGTGCTGATGTTTTTCATAAGAGGTTTCCTGACTCTCATACAAAGAATCTGGCTGTAATGGAATAAACTTACTTTTCAGTGGTTTTGCTACATAAAAAAGAGAGGTATTATGTAAAAATGAGTATGGCCTAAATTTTTAGAAAATAGTGCCATGGAGAAGAGTTCATTCATTCATTCATTCATTCATCATCCTGTTATTCGTCGATTGCCTCGAGCAGGCCCCAGTAACGTCCCTTTCATCCTAGCCCTGAGATTATATTCAAGGCTCTTTAGGAGAATGAGACCCATCATTGTTACTGGTATTTGGCATATTGGGTACGCCATGGGGAGTTTGCCAGACTCTGCCCTGTGGGCAGGCTATATTCGATAGCCTGCAAGTTTGTCCAAAGTAGGAATGAGATGGAGAAGAGTAATTCTGTAAAAATTCAAATGCCATGAAATATTGTATATGTAAATATTATATTCCAATATCCCAATTAAAATCATAACTCCAAAACAAGGAAATCAAACATTAAAGCCAGATAACAAAAAGAAGGATAAGGAAATTTGTATAGTTTACTTCAGAAAAAACTATGCAAACCAAAATTGACCATAGGCTGGGATACAAAATAATGGCCAATAAAGTCAGAAGATTTAAATCATGTAAGTTATCTTTACCAATCATAATGCAATAGTTAGAAATGAAAATAAACCTTGGGAAAACTTAAATATCAATAAGTATAAAGAAAGCTTTTGATAAGATTCAACACTTATTTATGATTTTTAAAAAATTCAATGCAATGGGGATAGAAGAAATTTAATTTACTATAGTAAAGATCAGACACAACAAATCCACAGCAAAAAACTGAAGCTTTTTCTATAAGATCAGGCAATACAAAGTTAACAATTCCTACTATTAGTCTGGAGCGATAGCACAGTGATAGCACAGTGGTAGGGCATTTGCCTTGCATGCAGCCAGCCCAGCCGAGCCGGGTTCAATTCCTCCGCCCCTCTCGGAGAGCCCAGCAAGCTACTGAGAGTATCTCACCCACACGGCAAAGCCTGGCAAGCTAGCTACCCATTACGTATTCAATATGCCAAACACAGTAACAACAAGTCTCAAAAGTGGAGATGTTACTGGGCCCGCTCTAGCAAATCGATGAACAATAGGAGGATAGTGTTTTATATTATTATTAATTAACATAATAATTAGCTATTATTATTACAGTATTAGATGGCCTAGTCAATTAGGCAAGTAAAGAAAGTAAAGAGATTCAAATTGTAAAAGCAGTAAAATTATCACTAATTTCAGACTATTGAAAATAATAAATCAATACATAAGCTACAAAATCAGTATAAAATATATGTAGTCCTGCTGGGAAATGTTCCTGCAGTTGAACACTAGTGTTGTGTCTCTGTTTTATCAAACAAAAATGCTTTCAAGCTATCAGATGCCTAATGAAGTCCTTGGTTAGCAGGGATTTCACTGTAATATCTTATATTCTCTTGTGTAACAGTGTAGGATTAACGACAAAACAAAAAATGAAATTTGGTTCAGAGAGATAATAGAGTAGGCATGGCACTTTTTTACTGATCACGGTTCAGTCCTCAGCACCATGTATGGTTCCCCAACTACCACCAGGAGAGACTCCTGAGCACAGAGCAAGGAGTAATACCAAAGACCAATTAGATATGGGCCAAATCACTGTCCTCCCGTTGTTCATCGATTTGCTCAAGCAGGCCCAGTAATGTCTCCATTATGAGATTTCTTGTTACTGTGTTTGGCATATTGAATACTCTCGGTAGCTTGCCAGGCTGTCCGAGAGGGGCGGAGGAATCGAACCTGGCTCGGCCAGGCTGGCTGCGTGCAAGGCAAACGCCCTACTGCTGTGTTATTTTAAAAAAAGAACTAAAGCATGAAAGCAGTTATCAGACTTTCAAGTTGTAATCAGACTTACAAGTATACCTCCTTTCATGTAGACAAAAAGTCCTAAGCTTATTAACAGGTTGATTAAATAATAAGATAATCATTCCTATAAAGAATAACAAAGTAAAATGTAGCTGAATCTTTGAACTTTTAAACCAATATACTGTTGGGGCAACAATAAGAATTCACAGAGGCACAGACTCTATATAGTACCTCAACTATAAATTAAAATTTGAGAAGTGAAACTGAGTTATGATAGAAACCATACCACTTATATTTCTATTTAACCTTATTAAGAACTGGGTCACACATATATCATATGTATGTAAAAATTACATAAAGAATGATAAAACAAATACCTCTGTATATACCATTCAACTGAAAGAAAAGAACAAAGCCGTTCCTTTTTTCTGGTGTGTGTTACACATGCAACTAATTACTATATTAGCTTTTCAAATAAGTGCAAATATATTATTTCCCCAAGTACAAGTTTCATTTATTCTTGATTATTTGCTATCAGTCTTCAGGAGAGAGTCACTGGAAGCTAGTATTTAGCATGTGATATCAACCTTCTAATAAAGAAAACTTCTCTGAACTTTGGCTTACTCCAGATCCTCAAGAAATATACTTAGCCATGAAATCACTACTCCTTTGGGTTCGCTATGAAGACTAGATCTGGTTTTAGCAACTATAGCTGGTTTTAGTAACTATTAAGAACTGTAGCACTGTAGCACAGTCCTCCCGTTGTTCATCGATTTGCTCAAGTGGGCACCTGTAACATCTCCATTGTGAGACTTGTTACTGTTTGGCATATCCAATACATCACGAGTAACTTGTCAGCTTTGCCATGCAGGCGAGATACTCTTGGCAGCTTGCCAGACTCTCCAAGAGGGGCGAAGGAATCAAACTCAGGTTGGCCATGTCACCCATCGGCCGCATGCAAGGCAAAAGCCCTACCACTGTGTGATCGCTCCAGCCCTATTAAGAACTATTCAGTATAAAATTTAATATGAGACTAACACCCAAGGACAATGGAGACAGGGCCAGGAAAAGTGCTCCACAGTTGGAAGCCTGCCTCATGAGCTGGGGAAGAAGGCAGCTGGGGTACAGAAGGGATCACTAAGTCAATGATGGTTGGAGGGATCGATCCGGATGGGAGACGTGTGCTGAAAGTAGATAAAGGACAAAATGTGATAGCCTCTCAGTAACTGTACTGAAAACCATAATGCCCCAAAATAGAGAGAGTGTGGGGGGATCTGTCTGCCATAGGAGCAGGGGGAGCGGTGGAACAGGGGGGTGGTTAGAGATCTGGAGATATTGGTAGTGAAAAATGTACACTGGTGGAGGGATGGATGTTCATTGTATAATTGAAACTCAAACATGAAAGCTTTGTAAGTGTAGCTCACAGTGGTTCAATTAAAAAGAAAGAAAAAGAACTACTCAGCACATTTCATTTCAATAAATACCTTGTCCTTTCAACATAAGTATTCCAATAAACACTTCTCCATATTTGTTTGGAAGAAAGGTTAAAAAAAGGTTACACAACAGATATTTTGCCCTCTACAGTGTTTCATTTTAATTACAATTATATACCTTATTTATATTTTGAAAAAGAAAATATAAAACTGTAGAGGCTGTCTCAGGATTCCTGCATCTGCCCCTCTGCCATGAATACTGTGTGCCTGACTTTGTTACTCTACTTGTAGTCCTACAACAACACAGGAAACTTAGAAACTTCCCATGGTTTTCAAAATGCATCTGTGCCTCATCAATATATTCACTTGTACAGATATTTAAAAATATCTTAGTATATCCCAGCAAGCTACCAAGAGTATCTCACATGCACAGCAAAGCCTAGCAAGCTACCCGTGACACATCTGATATGCCAAACACAGTAACAAGTCTCACAATGTTAGTGGGCCCGCTTGAGCAAATTGATGAACAACAGGAAGACAATGACAGTGATAACATAATTCCAAAGAAAACACCAACACCATCAACAATTCTCCATCTAGGTCACAAATTCAAGTTAGTAACTGACATCTCATCTCTGATCACCACTAGATCAAAATCTTTCACCAGCCCATCTTGCACTTTTTACACCCAAACACTTTCCCACTTGAGTCATATCAAATTCTTCATTGTTTCTCCAACACTGTGTTCAGTGTCACACCTCTATAACTTTGCCTTTCATGGTCCCCTTATCCTGAAATCTTTCCATCCCTCCTAAATATTTAGGGAATTAGTTTACAAGACCCAATTAGAATAACACTTTTTTTATGATGACATATACTATTTACCAATCTCTTCTCTAGCTCCTGGAACACATTCTACTCCATTTATTTATTTATTTATTTATCACTTAGTCAAATATATCCTTGTTTGGGGCTCACCTATCTGTTTTTCCACTAACCAAAATCATCCTTGGGGATAATTTTCAAAAGTCAACTAATGGTCTGTGAGAAACTAATAAATACCAGATGCTGTTCTATAGCTATATAAAGATGAAATGATATTTCATACTCTTCAGGAATTTAGAACCCCACAGTAAAGCAAACATGCAAACAATTATTCATCAAAGCTACTCTATGAAAGTGTTATCAGTGTACCAGTGGTACAGCAGGAGAGGGAAATATGATTTAAGTCTAATTAGGAGAGGGAAGAGTTCACAAAGGCAGCTGTGGTTCAGCTGGCTTTGAAGGATTTCCAATAAAACAACAAATGAATGTTTTGGCTTGTGTTTTAATAGTCAGGCATTCCAGATACATAGAAAAAGCATGAAAGTATGTGATAGCATGATTTGTGTAAGGACATCGAGAGAGCTTTATTATTTGATAGGTAAATAGTAAGAAAAAGCAAATAGAAGATGAAAACTTTTTCAATATTTTTATGACATTGACTCTTACTTGCCCTATTAGCAAAGTGTCCGACATAAAATGAAAGACAACATGGATGTTGCAAAGCAGATGAAAATAACGCAAGCACCTGTCAATATTTTGCTGACATGACAGCTTTCTGTTTATTTCTAGAAACAAAATATTTTAATGATGACAATTTCCCTGTTGCTTGGTCAGAAAACAACATGGCTCCCCATAAGAATCTTGAGAGCTGTCATTTGCCTTATTTATAATTTATAATCAGAAACACACATGTTTCTGATAATACATCAAGACATGAGGAAAACTCAATATTGCAAGTAAAATAAAGGGATGGATTCGAGGTCCCACTTGGTCCTAACTCATGGGATTTTCAGTAAAGTAAGTAAAGTAAAGGCCCTCCCGTTGATCGTCGATTTGCTCGAGCGGGCCCAGTAACGTCTCCATTGGAGACTTTGTTGTTACTGTGTCTGGCATATCGAATACTCTCGGTAGCTTGCCGGGCTCTCCGAGAGGGGCGGAGGAATCGAACTCGGGTCGGCCATGTTGGCCGCGTGTAAGGCGAACGCCCTACCCGCTGTGCTATAGAAAAAGAATTTTAAAATGTAGAAAACTGATAACAAAAACCTTTGCCTGATTATAAGAATATCATCTTCCCAACTTTATCTGCACTGTCTACTTCGTTCATACAATTCCTTGAAAGTGGCATCAATCATTCTTATCATAAGAAATACAAATACAGGGCTTGGGAGATAGCTCAACAGTCAACAATTTTAAATTCCAGCTTTGCACCATCAAGTATAGCCCAAAAAGTCCCCAGGACAGTTGGGTATGACTCTAGAGGTTGCTGAGCATCTCCAGAGTGGCCTTGGTGTCCCCAGGGTCCAAGCATCACTGCATCCTCAGGCTCTACAGTCAACCAGCCAGCCTGCTGGGCTGATTGCTGGAGGGAGTGGACTCCAGTCCCTGGGTACTCTATAAGAGGGCTCCTCCAAAAGGAAATGAGTAAAATATTGTATTTATTATATTCTAATAAGAAATTAAAATCTCCCTAATAGCACTAACTTTGATACCTAAGAAGATAGAGAAATATACCTTTGGTCCTCGAGGCTTGGGGGTTTTGCCCATCAACTTTTCATCATCAATTTCACATTGCTCCAAAAGATCCAAAATATCTTCCTCCTTAAAAAGATAGTTAATAAAAATTATGATCACTAATGGACTCTAGAATTTTTGCCGGTTCAATCATCTCCAAAATATAATATATAACATATAATACAAACTTCTAGAACTGTCTCATAATGATTGTTCAGATAAAATAAGAAAGAGTCATCACAAAGTTAAGAAAACTTTAAGTAAATTATAGAAATATAAATAATAGATAAAACTTATTTAGAATTACCATAAACATATACCCTTATGTCCTTTACACAACAAAATTCCTGAGTGCAATGCCCATTGGATGCTTTAACATTTCTAAAAGTTTGAGCCAGTGAGATAGGACAGTGGGTAGGGTACTTGCTTTGCATGCAGCCAACCTGAGTTCAATCATGTGTCACATATGGCTCCTGACCCTGCCAGGAGTGATCCCTGAGCATAGAGCCAGGACTGAGCTCTGAGCACTGCCAGTGCAACCCAAAACAACATACCTACAAAAATATTTGAAAAGCTCAATCCAAATTTCCGGACAATATCTGATTATCTTAATACAGATTGGTGCAAAATACTAAAACTTTAGACAGAAAATTTATAACTGGCTTGGTAATTTTATTAGGGTATGCCAAAAATAAATAATTTTTATGCAAGAAAAAAATTTTAAATTTTATAAATGTTTTTCATTCTATAGAGTTAATATATCTCCATATGCTCTTCTAGAGCTATTTTGAAGTCAAAAGAAAAAGTTATGAAGTCATGTACGCTATGAAGCCATGTACCCAAGGGGCTGAGCATAGCAATTTAATATGAATATGACAGCAATACTGAAAGAGGTATAGCCAACTGCTGCACTGAGTTATTTATTAAACTTGTAAAAATGTTGTATCTTTTTGTGTTTGCAACTTATAATTCAATGTCTGTCTCTTAAAAAAATGTATTTGGTGAAATCTGAAATAACACTGCAATGAAAATTTGTAAAATTTATTAGCTCTTTATTCCAACATAAGAAACTAAGTTGTTAAAATACAAAAAAGAATAGTTAAAGAGATAGAACATCAATTAAGGCACTTATATTGTACACGCCAACCCTGGTTTGATCCCCTGTACCAGATACTGTCACCTGAACAATGTTAAGAATGACCCTCAAGAACACCAAATAAAGGGTGTTGGGAGGATCCTCCCAGGATGGGAGAAGCATGCTGAAAGTAGACTATAGACCAAACATGATTGTCACCCATTGCCTCTTTTGCAAACCACAACACCCAATAAGAGAGAGAGAACAAAAGGGAATGCCCTGCCACAGAGGCAGGGTGGGATGGGGAGATGGGGGGTAGGAGGGATACTGGGATCCGTGGTGGTGGGAAATGGGCACTGGTGAAGGGATGGGTATTTGATCATTGTATAATTGAAATCCAAGCACAAAACTTTGTAAGTCTACAACTATACCTCATGATGTCTCACTAATAAAAAATTTTTAAAATTTTTTAAAAAAACAATGACCCTCAAGCATAGAAAAAGTAGTAATCCCGAGCACCACTGGGAGTAGCCCCCAAACCCAAAGCAAGAAAATAATTTAATGGGACCTGGAAGAGAGTACAAATGTTAAGTTGCTTGGCTAGTATGTGGCTGCAGTCATTCATTCAGTACTACATACGATCTTCCTAGCAATGCCAGGCATGGGCCTGAGCACAGACCCATGTACAACCCAAAAGCAAGAAAAAGTAGTGGGACAGTCATTTTCCACCAAGACCAGTCCAAAACCAAAGACAGATCTATATAATTGAAGGATAGTTTTTAGCTGAACACAGTGACCACTTCCTGTTTTAAAGTCATTGGTCATGTCTAGACACAGATAGAGACATGGTCCATAAAAGCCATAGAATCAAGTGCAACTTTCATTAATATGCAGGTCGATTTCGCCACTCTTAATTTGTTGGTTGTGTGCAGTACTGTGCATGTACTGAGGTACATCTGAATGAACATGTTCTGGTGTAAAAAAATGAAGGCATGGACGGAAATTCAGAAACACTTGTCTGAAGTTATACATGTCCTTAGATACCAATATCTAAGTGCCATTGCAGATAGATTTGTATGGGCAAGAAGCCAAATCCAATCCCCAGCATAATGATGCCCTCCCACCAGGGCACTGCTGGGATTGGTCTGGTAGTCCCCAGTCCACCAAGTTTAAGCAGCGCTGAACCAAAGCCCTAGAATGGAAGCATGCATTGAGGTTGGCAAAGTAGTTCCAGAAATGGTCCCAAGACTCCTTGAGCATTGCTTGGGAAGTCAACCTGCAAAAAAATAAAGACAGCATCATATTTGTTTTTGCTGTCTTTGCTTCAGGTGTCAAATCACTAAAGAAACTTCTGAGGTCCATTTCAGAGAATTCTGCCTGTTCTTATTATATGTCATAGATTCTGCTCTACTCTCTAAATCTTAAATCTAACTTTTATGAACACAGTGGCACTCAGTTCCAGTTTCATATTTTTACATGTGGCTATCCTGATTTCAAAAACAAATTACCAAAAAGATATTCCTTGCTCCATTTCATATACTTAGTTCCTTTGTCATAGAATCACTATTCATAAGTCCGAATGTTTATCTCAGTACTCTAAATTCTGTTATATTGGCCTATGTCTGTTTTTGTTCCAATATCACACAACGATCATAGCTTTATAGTACAATTCAAGTCAAAAACTGAAGTAGCTCCCATCCTTTTTTTATATTATAATTGCTTGGCTAGTCAATGAATTTTATGATTCCATACAAGTTTTTGGTGATATAATGAGAAAGGAACCCCCATTCATTGCTTATGGAAATTAAAAATTATTTTAACCATTTAGAAATCAATATGGCAACTTGTAAAAAAATAGAACAGAACTCTCTTAAAACCCAGTGATACCAATACTTGTCATATGTCCTCTAAGCATAAAAACATTTATTTAAAAGGATATACGTATACCAGTGATCATTACAGTACTTAGTGCAATAGCCAGGATATGGAAACAAGACAAAATTCCAACTATGGATGAATGAATCAAGAAGATGTGGTGAATATACACAATGTAATACAAATTAAATTGTAAGAAAAGTTGAAACTGTGTAGCTTAACTTTTATATGGATGAAACTATAGGATATTATGCTGAATGAAGTCAGAAAGAGAGGGACAGATACAGAATGATCTCTTTCACTTAAAGATCTTTTAAATGAGAAAGATATAGTGTAAAACAGCAACAAATAGCCAAAGGAAAAGGAATTGGAGAGTTGGTCTATAGAACTGAATTACCCAGTGATGGGGTGGGGAAATATGAGACATTCGTGGAAGGAAACCAGCACTCTGGTGGTAGATGCAGTGTTGGAACAATATATACATGAAATTATCATTAACAGTGTTATAAATCATAGTAGCACAATAAAAATGGAAGAAGATAAAAGAATGAGACCTTAACATATTTTCCCCTCAACGCATTTAAAAACAAATATAAACTAAAATGACTATAATCCAGTCGGTAACCAGTTCAATTCCACTTCTCCTTTATTGAATTAAAAGATATATAACACTACATTAATGTAAGGTGCATGTCAGGTATGATACGTTGAGTACCTATATTTATACATCATAATATAACAAGCCTTATAGAGACAGCTTCTCTGTAATGTAAATATAATTCTCTTTTTGTTAAAAAAAATTAAGATCCAGACTCTGAGAAAATTGAAGGCTCCAATAAATTCTTTTTTATCTATATTCACTATGTTGTACATTAAATCTCTGGGACTTATTTACCATTAGTTGCAAATCTGTGCCCTGAAACCACATCTCTTATTCCCCCATTCACCAAATGCTAATAACAATCATTTTACTCAGCTTAGTGCGAGTTTGTTTTCTTTTGTATTGTATAATTTTATAGTTCTCTGAAGGATTTACCTTATTTTGCATAATGTTTTAAAGTCTATCCACATCACAATTTGTTGGATTCCCTTCTTTCCCATATAATTAAAAATATTTTATTATATGTATATAGTAGATAGGTCTACACAGTATATATCATATCATCTTTCTTTAGTCATTCATCTACCAACAGGCACAGAGATTGCTTCCGTATCTTGGCTATTGTGAATAAAGCTTCAATAATCATGGGATGCATTTTCTCTTTGATAGTCTATTTTTAGTTTATTTGACCATATACCCAGAAGTAGAATTGCTGGACCACATGATAGATCTACTTCCAATTTTCTGAGGAATCTCCATATTCTTCTCAATATTGGTTGAATCTATTTATATTCCTACTAATATTGGATCACTTATCCCCACATCTTGGCAATACTAGTTACTTCATCTTCCTGATGATAGTCACACTAACAGGAGTGAGGTGAAACTCACTGTGATTTCACACTTCCCTGATGATTAATAGTATTAAAATTTTTTTCAACTACCAGTTGTCCACATGCATGTTTACTTTAGAAAAATGCATATTTAATGCCTCTGCCCATTTTTAAATAAGATGCTTTACTTTTTGTTGTTTTTATTGCTATTGGGTTGTGGGTTTAATTTACTTAATTTAGGTATTAACCCCTTTTCTTATACATGATTTGATAACATTTTCTTCCCATTCTGTACATTGCCTTTTCATTCTATTGTTTCATGGCTGTGAAGAATCTTCTAAGTTGGTGTAGTCTCATTTTTTGATTTTTGGTTTTGCTGAACTTTTTTTTTTTCTCCAAGTGATGCATTCCCCACTCTAAAACCTGGAAAGAATGAAGGTATGCATTCTTTTGGATAAAGTATTGTTTAAATCTTTATGATTCTAAAATAAGCAATGTCTTAAACAAACAAAAAAAAAGCACAGCACACTCAAAATAATAAGAAAATATGACCTAAAATCAAAAGGGAAGAAAAAAATCAGGAAAATGAGCCCACAAGTGAGAGAAACTTTAAAACTAAAAGACAAGAATTAATAATAGTATTACATGCATGTCAAAATTGGTTTTAAAAGTAAATAAAATGAAAAAGCATAATTTTAACAAG